CACCTCTTGGCTAATCACTCCTTGATGGAACCTCCTCTCTCTCCTTTCATCTTCCTTCCCTTTCCCAGCCTCACACCTGCCTCAGGGGGCAGCTCCTGGCTACACTGCTTCACTGCTTCAAGGGAACTCAGAGGGGGACTTTGGGGACTCTGGAGAAGATGGTAAAGGCAGAAAGTGCCAGGTGGGATGTGCTGGGCACCTCTATCTGCGACTCTGGGTATCTACTGGGATGTGCTCAGAACTCCAGCTCTTCTGAGCAGTTCTTCCTCCTAATCTGTAAGAAGGAAGATGCCTCCCTCCATCTCGAAGCTTCTCATGTTTTTCAGGGGCCTCTGAGAGGCTTCTGATGGCTTTTCAGTACCCTCTGACGCTCTGGGGAAAGGCTTACTGATTTAAGCCTGCAGAATCTCAAAGCGCTCTAATCAGCAAGTCAGTTAATTCTTACTAACCTCCCTGGAATGGAAGAGCAGAAGCTCAAGGCTGGTCCAAAATGTTGATTAGAGTGAAACCCAGGGTAGTACAAAATAGTAAGGCACTTGGTTGTTAATTGAAAGGTTGAAGATTTGAATCCCCTCAGAGACACCTGAGAAGACAGGCTTGAAGATCTACTTCCTGTAGAGCACAGTCCTACTGGGACATATGTGGGATCTTAGTGAGTTAGAATAGATTCAATGGGAATTGGTTTATTTTAACCACTCCCCAGACTTTGTCAGGCAAAATGGAATCTCTGTAGCTTAATCAATTCACCCTTCCTCCTCTGGGTATGGGAATAGGAAGGAGGCAAGTGGGGAAACCCTCTAAGGTGGCCCCAGGCAATCCACCCACAAAAGGCAGAGGTTTCCCTTAGACCAACTTCAGATCCATCTCTAGGCTGGCTGCTTTAATAATTTTCTTATTAATCCTCACAACATCCCCGTTGAAATGGCAGCGGCGAACCCACTTTACAGATGTTGATACTGAGGGTCAGAGAGTAAGAAATGCCTAGAGAGAGAGGTGAGAGTGGATAGAGGGACCAGTGCAGGTGCTCCTCCTGTGGCCTTCCAGGCTCCAAGGTTGGTGCATAACTGATCAGGGTGTGGAGAGATGGAATTGAGAGCAGCCTAGAAGCCACTGGACTGGTATCACATCTTTGTTATCAGTGCCTCATCATAAACCAACAGCAAACCAAACTGGTCTTCAGCAAATTGATTCTGACTCATGGTGACCCATCACAGGGGAGTGGAAAGAGTATCACACTTGGGGTGGGGGTTCTGGGTTCCAGGACACATTTTTTTTTCCAGGACACTTTTGAGGAAACTGAGATCCTTTGCTTAAATTATTCAACAAGCTTTCTTTCTCACCTGTAAAAAAGGGACATCAGCTAACCTCCAGAGGTGTTTGTGAGGCTCAAGGAGGTAATAGGTAGCCATAAAGCATCTAGTTCAGTGCCTGGCCTGTGTAGAGCTGCTCTCAGGTCCACTGAGTCAATTATGACTCATTGTGACCCTATAAACAGATCTGAACTTTGCTCTATTTTGCAGAACTGACTCATAATTGACCCTTCAGTAGGTTTTCAGAGGCAGTAAATCGCATAAGAAGATACTGCTACCTTTCTCCTCCAAAGCAGCTGGTGGCTTTGAACCACGTACCTCTGGGTTGGCAGTGAAACTCCTTGCCATTAAGCTAGAGACCAAATAAACTCCCTACCATCCATTCTGGTGCCAAGAGCACCTGGACTGACTCCCTCCTTTAGCCTCACCTCTCCCTTTCTCTCTTACTCTCTCCCTCTCTCTTTCTAGGCATTTCCAAGGGCATCTCGTGTCCTATAGCCAGGGAGGGGCCCGGACACCAGCTCAAGGCAAATGCTTTGGTTTCTACGGTTGTTTCAACAACCTGCTATTCCAGACAGGATCTAGACAGAGCTTCTCTTGTTAAATATTGATGGGAGGCCCCAAACAGAGAGGCACGAGAAAACAAAGGACGTTTTATTTATGTTAGAAAAAGAAACCAACAGGAAAAAAAAATGTACAAGCCCAATAGGAGGGGGCATGTTTAAATAAACTATGGCACATCTACTTGCAGGAATATTGTGCAAGTATTGAAATGATGTTTACCCAGAGTTTGTAATAACACGGGAAAATGCTTATTCTAAAAGGGTAAGTGAAAAAGGAAGCGACTGAATTGTAAATTCAGCATAATCACACCTAGGCAAAAATCATGCAAACACAAAGACGATGCACGGAAGAAACCGACTGGAGGGGTCTGCACCGCAGTAGGAGTTGTCATTGGGTGGCAGAATTGGGAAGATTTGTTATACTTTTCTCTTATTTTCCAATTTTTTCTTCCACAATGGGCATAGCTGGCTTAAACTTGAAAGCAATCTCAATTTCTTTTCTTTCCTTTTTTTTTCAGGAGAATAAAACTCCTAGTGGGAAAGCAGTGCAGATGACTCAGGGGGCAGCCGCAGAGGCTACGCCGAGGCTAAGGGCCACAGACCCCAGGCAATTAAACAAGGCTGAGTGGAAATCTTACAGACTCCAGGCAATTAAGCAAGGCTGAGTGGGAATCCCATAGTCTGACCTCCTCCAGTGCTGTCTGCAGGCAGGTACCCAGCCGACCCAGGGCAGTCTGGCCATCTGCTGCCCTTTATGGTCACTCTCATTCTCATATGTGAAGAATCTGCTGCTCCCATTGGGCAAGTGGCTTATCTGGATCCAGGAGCCTTCCCTTTACGCAGGGTCATCCGCCCTTCATCATCTACAAATACGGTTCTTCCTGGAGGCAGCTCTGCCCTCTCCGGCTCTCATGGCACAGTCCTCAGTCCTAGCCCCTCCCTGGCTTCAGAACACTTCCCTGAACTCAGCTCAGCTTGATCTGATCTTTTCCTTCACTGGCTTATGAGAAAACTCCCCTTGCATACCGGATCTGCTCCCACTTACCCCCAGATTCCAAAGCACACCCCTCACCTAGCCTGTCATGATAATGCCACTGACTTCCTGAGTCACGTCCCTGAGGCCCTGCCCCCAGCCGTGGGCCCTTTGAAGGCTGGTGTCTGAGTGTTTTCCACCCTCTTGGACCTGCTGCTGTTTCATCTCCTGTGGAAGTCTACACTAAAACAGTTGACTCCACTGTCCATCAATCGAGCAGCCGTGCTCCTGCTTGGGGAAGAGCCAACAGTGTGTCCCTATACTGGATCCAGACAGCCCTCCAGGCAACATGGAGACTAGCATCCTTGGGAATAAATGAGCAGGAGGACTCTCAGACACCCTCCTGGACACTTAGCCCTTCTTAATATCCTCCACTGGAAGGAAGCACCCGACCTAGGTCTGACACTAACCTTTAGCATGACCTTGCACAGGGCCATCTTCCAAAAGGATCATTTGACTTTCCCTTCCCAGACTGCAATTTAGATATAAACCTGGAAACTTTGCCTTCTCAAGCTGAAGGGGGTCGGGACTTGTGTGGCTCAATAAAGGTCTTTTCTTATTAACAGGATAATCTCCAACTCATTCTTTGTTTCCATCTCACATCGTCCAAAAAGCTTCCCCACTTCCACCTCCAGCCTAAGCCCTGGCAGTTAGGGTTAACACAAGCTCTGGCAAAGCCCATCCTGGGATTTGGGAAGAACTTTCTCCAGACGCTTTCATTTATCCCCAAGGTACAGAAGGACATACGCAGTTCTGCCCATTTTGGGGATACAGGCAATGAAGTCCGAAGTGTCTTCCTCTTCTCATTGTAAAACCCTGCCCTGGAGTCATCCATCTCTACCTCTTCCTTCTATGCACCTAACACTTTAGACTCAAACAGACTCCTAGAGTACTCAGTGCTTTCATGTCTATACATAGCTCACTTGGAGACAGACTAGGATCTGGGTAACAGATGGACCAGTCTCTCTCCTTCTCCTCTGGGAAGAATGATACCTTCTGGAAGTTGGAGGTTCTCCTCCACTTCAGAATGACTGAACCTGATGTGGAACGAGAGCCTGGCAATTGGATGCCCCACCAGAATGTTTCAGCTCCTGAGCGCCAAGACCTACCTAGCCCTTTCTTGTCTGTGGAGGAAAAAACCAAGTGACCTGGAGGGGAAGACTATGTCATCATCTCTAAGAGTCGCAAGGCCTGACTGAGCTGCTTCCAGCTCCCTGACAGGAAGACTGCTGAGGACTCTGAGATCCTAGAGAAAGAGTGCAGTGGTCAATTACCAGTGGGCACCCTGAACCTAGCAAGTGACTGACCCTTGAATCATTTATTTTCCCTCCCTGCCCTGAGACCTCATAAACAGAATCAACTCTATAGTCTAATAACAAAACTATTCTAACAGACCATTACAGGAAGCTGTCCCATTTTGAATGGCTGCTGAAAACACGCCTTTCTCTTCATTCCACTACTAGAATTCCAGGTAATGAGAAAACGTAAAGTGCATGTAGTTAAGTTTACTCTGCAAAGAAGTAAGGGGGAGGGGTGCCCCATGGCAGCTTCATATTTAGCTGCTCTACTTCTCAAACCACCCTCTCCTCTGATTGGTCCCCTGCCCCTATCCCCCAGCTCTCCTGGGCTCCTGACTGAACCATAGCTTTCCATTTTCCCCACTTGCATGTCCCTTGGAACTGTGACAGGATGAACCTAGTGGGCAAAGTTTAGGAAAGAACCCTAGTAGCTTATAGAGAGCTGGCTTACCTTCAGAAGGGTCAGCATGAGGGACCCCTGGGGGTCCATCAGCATCTGGAACCATGGTTACCAACAGGCTATATGCCTGCATACTCTGGTGGTCCTGTAGCCCCCTTTCCCCAAGTATATAAGTTCTACCAAGGGGTCCTAGCCCTTGCAGACATAGTGTCCTCTTCCCAGGAACCTCAATCGCCAGCTGTTTTTTTCCCCCTCAACGGGTCCCTGCAGCCCAGTGGGGGTTAAAGGCACATCTAAGACTCCACAGGGCTTGCAGAGGAGGTAGGTTAGAACGTGCATCTTTGCTGACCAATTCCTGGAATCAGGAGCGATCGCTGTTGAACTCCCGCTTTTCCAAGAGGGAAACAGGAGGGCCACTAAACCCTGGTCTGGGGCACACTGGGCGTGGGCAGGGTCAGGACGGTGGGCAGGAGTGTGCCCTGTGGCGAAGGGAAGCTCTGCAGCTCTCCTGGCACGAAACTGGGCGAGACGTGGTGGGCCTGGAAGCTGAGCATGCGCTGTCGACCGACGCAGTAGATGAGGCTGCGCACTGCTGCGCACTGGAAGGGCTCTGGGTAGGGCAGCCGGCACGTGGCACACTCGTACCAGAGCCGCGTGCTGGCGCTGCAGCGGTACACGGCAATGCCCAGGCTGCGGTTGAAGTCGAAGCGGTAGAGAAAGCCGTTGACGGCCACCATCTCCACGGTGCGGTCCTTGCCCCCTCCGGTGGGGCCAGCCCACCAGCGCTGCTCCTGGGCGCAGAAGCGGAGCAGCAGGTAGCGCAGCGTGCCGCCGGTGACGAAGATCTGCCCCGCGCACGCCGTGGCCGTGTGCGCCACGGCAAACGTGTCATTGGGGAGCGGAGGTGCAAAGTCCCAGCGGTCCAGGCGGGGGTCGTAACGTTCCACCGTGTTCAGACACTCACCCCCGATGGCGTACAGGTGTCCGTCCAGGGCCACCAGCCGGCAGTGGGGCCGGGTCTGGTTCAGCTGGCACACCTCGCTCCAGATCCCCGTCAGCGGGTTGAAGCAGAAGACTCGGTTGGAGGGCTGGCACCCAGGCCCCTGGCATCCAGACACCATGAAGAGATAATTGAAGAGACTGCAGATGGCACAGCCCCGGGACACAGCCTCCAGAGGGAGGCACGCCAGTGGGTGCCAGGTGTCCTGCTCATCGTCATAGCAACAGAGGCGGCCAGAGTGCTCCTGGGGACAGACATCGGCCACCACCAGGTACTGGCGGCCGCGGAGCCTGCGCTGGAGGATCAGCTCCCGCTCCGCCCCGGTCAAGTTGTCGTAGATGTCTGGGCTGCGCAGGACCTGCAGGTAGTTGTCGCTCATCACCTTGTAGGCCGCCTCCTTCAGCGCCTCCAGGTTCTGCCTCTTGGCCAAGGTCAGCACCTCATAGCAATTGCCCAAGTCCAGCCGGACACCGGGCGCTGAGCTGGGACTGAGCGGGAGGTGGAAGAAATTGGTCCCAGCCACCAGCTGCACATGAGGCTCTGTGCTGCTCCCGGCTGAGCTGGAATTTAGGGATGCGAGGCAGTCAGGTGGAACACCATGGTCTGGGCCGGGGGACTCTGGAGTCCCGAACCCACTGAGCTGCAGTTGGAGCTCTGGGTTCTCCACAATCTGAAGGAGGCTCTCCTTCCTGCTGAAACCAGGTGTGGTTGCAGGCGACTCGGGCTGGGAGGAGGCAGCTGTACCTGCAGCTCCACCTTCTGTGTCATTGATGTGGCCCCTGGACGCTCCTTTGCTTCCCAGGGGGCCTGGAATAGAGGATGGAGCCTCCATCAGTGCTGCTGTCCTGGGGGTCAGGCTATCTCCAGAGATGGCCTGAGAGGTGGACTCGACATAGTACTCATACACCTTGCCCTTCAGCCTCGGCCCGCTGCCTGCCTCCTTCTCGGGGATGAAGTTTTCCTCCACCTGAACCCGAGCTGTGGATGAGAAGGTGTAGCAAGCATTGGTGGTTCCCTCCTGCTGACGCAGAGCCAGGCCCATGTTGGAGGCAGCCTCAGTCCTGTGGACTCCTGACACTTGGGTAAAGAGCCAGCTTTTGTTCGTGTCGCTGCTGCCTTCCGTGTGGGCCAGCCAGTGCTGACGGGGGGAGCCTGGTTCCCTCTCCATGGGCCCTTCGGGGGCTCCACAGTCCTGCCATGGGGTAGCCTCCCTGTCTACAAGGCTGTTGCCGTCCACGATGGCATTTCCAGTTGGGGAGCCTTGAGGTTTGCTGCCCAAGGAGGGGTGGTGGAGAGGGCCCTGCTCTCTGCCAAGAGCTGCTCCGGCTTCCTGACCCTCGCAGGGAGGAGGCGCCTGCCCAGGGTCTGGACTCTCCCTGGAATCGTCCTCACTGCTGTCTCCCCTCCTGGGCTCTTCGTCTCTGAAGGTGACAGGTGCTGCTGAGACACAGGAGACTCCAGGATTCTCCCTGCTGCAGCCCAGAGGGGCTGTACTCCCCTTGCTGGCTTTCTGTCGTCTTCTTAGCCCCTTCTTTAATGTCTCAGGAGAAGACGCAGGGATGGCAGGCAGCCCCAAGCCATCTGCTGCCTCTCCACCTTCAGCTTTGGCGTATCCACCCCCATGCGGGGTATGGGCAGGCCTAGACTTGTAGAGCCGGTAGGCAGCGGTCACCAGGATCAAGGTGGCCGCGGACAGCACCACTTTGCCTGTCAGCTGCATGTCGGAGCACCAGTCCCTGGCCGCTGCACCTCCAGGGAGCATGCTTCTCAGGCTGCCTGGGGCCCAGGAATGTGAAGAATCCAATTAATGATTGCCCAATTGGTGGTTCTTGGTTCCCGCCTCCTGGTTCCTGCAGGCTGAGGGCTGAGCGGGAGGGGTTTCTGGGCTGATGGAGGAGTTGAAGCAAAGGTGACTTTGAGCTGGCAGAAGGCACCCTCAGGGCCAGGGCTGGCCGTCCTCCACGGCTGGCCTCTATCCTGGATCCTTCAATGCGTCTTCTGTGGAGCGGAGGTTTCGGCTAAGGGTCGAGCTTATTTTCAGCCGTCTGAATGCTCTGGGCTGCCAGCGTCTAGGACGCTAGGAGTGTCCAGCGAGCACACAAAGAGGGAGGACGCTTTTAACCAAATCTTCTTCCGATGCCAGGAAATGCACGGGGTTGGTTTAGTGTGTGTGTGTGTGCCCTTTTTTTTTCTTGTTTGCAAATTTATTGGACCAGGAAGGACTGGGTGTGGCCAGTCACAGGGCAGGTGAAGCCACGGTGGCAGTGGCTTAGGATCCTCCCTGTGGGTGTCTTTCCTACTAGGGTCTGCTTGTCCCCATGGTAGTGTTTGCATTCTATGGGCCAGGCAGGAGAGGCTGGAGCAGGACCACAGCCAAACCACCTGACTGGGCTCTTGAATGCCTCTGCCCTCCTTCCTGCCTCCTGACTTTACTGAGAGAAACTCAACTGCCCAAGAAGGGATTTGGGAGGGCACATTATGTCCCAGATTGGGTTCTCCCCTTCAGAACCAGATAGCTTTCCATGGATCCAAATTCCCTGGCTCTACCACTTAACCAATTGTGTGCCCTTAGACAAATCACTTCACTTCTTTGTGCCTCAGTGTTCTCATCTGATCAATGGGAGGATGATAGCAAACCAGCCTCAGATGGTTCTGGTGAGAACAAAACGAGTAAAGGTTTCATTCATGTACGTTCTGTTTTATACACATTGTATTTTACATAATGAATTACTATTGAGCTATGCCTATTGTCACCTTATCTTTCCAGGTCCCTGTTGAATCTTTCCTATTTATTCCTTCACCCTCCCTATCTGACCTCTTACCTCTGCAAGTGAACGAGTGTATAAAACACAATGACTGTGGATGAAACACAAGGTATATGGATGATTGCATGTAAACCTATAAAAGATAGGGAAAAAATCCCACAAAGCCAATAAAATAGCCCCCAAATTCAGCCAAATAGACACAATTCAGAGCACTCTGCATAAATGAATTGAATTCCATTAAAAAAATTAACGGCATCTACTTCTAAGCCATATGCCTCTGGAAACTCTGTGACCTTGGAGAAATGATGATAGTTATGGAAAGGCATTAGGTCTTAAGTTCATAGAGTCACTATGAGTCGCACTCGACTCGAGGGCAATCAACAACAACAACAACAACAACAACAACAAGGTGAATAAAGAACTTAGGACTTCTGGGCCATAAAGGTTATACTAGCTACTCTCCTCTTTATTCCATCCTCTCTGTTCTCAGCAGCAGCATTGCCACTCTCTTATTCACAGCAGCAGCAGCAGCTGCGGTAGTACAATTTTCTGCAGCACAGACCTAATCCTGCCCTTCCAGGCCAGTGTTCTCTCTTGCTGTGAGGTGTCCTGACTTGGCCCATGAATCACCCTGTGTTTAACCCTGTACCTAACGGGCAAGGATGTTTCTTGGCCATGCACCATCTGCAGGGTTGCTGGTATGCTTGAGTCCATTCCTGTAGCCACTGAGTATTTTGGGCATCTTCTTACTTACGAGATTCGTCTTCCAGCATTATGTTGTACACCCCCTCAACCCCACACACATTGCCATCAACTTGACTCTAACTCATAGAGACCCTCCATTAAATTTCCAGGGAGGAGACTATCCATCTTTCTTTTTTGAAGCAGCTGGTAGATTTGAACTGGCTCCATAGTCAACAGTCTTGGCACCAGCAGCCAGGAAATTAAAAGGCGCATTGCCATGGGAAAGTCTGCTGTTAGGGACCTCTCCAAAGTACTGAAGAGCAATGGTGTCTCTCTGGAGACTAAGGTGCGTCTGATACAGGCCATGGTCTTCGCAATTACTTGTTATGCATCAGAGAGTTGGACAATGACCAAGGAGGATAGAAGGAGAATTGATGCTTTTGAGCTGTGGTGCTGGAGAAGAGTATTGAGAATACCATGGGCTGCTAGGAAAACAAACAGATTCATCCTGGAAAGGGTTAAACCAGGTGGCTCCTTGGAGGCAAGGATTCTGAGGCTCCGTCTAACTTACTTTGGACATGTTGTAAGGAGAGACCGGTCCTTAGAAAGGGACATCATGCTTGGGAGGGTGGAGGGACAGCGCAGGAGAGGAAGGCCCTCTATGAGGTGGATTGATTCAGTGACTGGGATAATTGGGATGGGAGTGTCAGAGACAGTGTGATTGGCACAGGACAGAGCGGAGTTTAGGGCTGTTGTACATAGGGTTGCTATGAGTTGCAGGCGACTCGACGGCACATAACAACAACAACAACCTTCAGATTAGTAGTTGAATATGTGACACACTACTACACCATCAGGTGAAAATGGACACATTTTGGCAAACAGCTGCTGCCCTGGATGCGCTCACCAGGTTATGCCAAGAAATCTGGAGGACACCTACCTGGCCAAGTGACTGGAAGAGATTCCCATTCCAAAATACAGTGACCCAACAGAGTGTGGAAATTATCGAATGATATCACTAGAATCACATGCAAGCAAGATCCTGCTGAGATTATCCAGAAGTACATTAGCAGAGACCTACCAGATGTGTAGGCTGGATTTAGAAGAGGCTGTGGCACTAGGGACATCATAGACAGCAAAGATGAATCTTGGCTGAAAGCATAGAGTCCCAGGGAAATGTCTATATATGCTTCATTAACTATACAAAGGCATTTGACTGTGTGGATCACAAAAAATTGTGTCTAACCTTGAGAAGAACAGGGATCCCAGAGCACTTAATTGTACTCATGCAGAACCTAAACTTGGACCAAGAAGCAGCAGTTAGAGCAGGGAAACACTCTATGGTCCAGAATTTGGGAAAGCATGCATCAAGGATGCATCTTATCTCCATATCTTTTCAATCTATGTGCAGATCAGATAATTCAGGAGGCTGGACTCTATGAGGAGGAATGTGGAGTCAGGATTAGAGGAAGATTCATCAACAACCTGCATTATGCAGATGACACAACACAAGGCATTTGCTGCAAAAGGAAGCCTGTAGTCTTCAATATGGATTGGAGCTCAAACTCAAGAAAACAAAGATTCTCATCACTGGGCCAATCAGCAGCTTCATAATGGAGGGAGAAGAAATTGAGGTTGCTGATACCTTCAGCTTGCTTGGTTCCACAATCGACACTTTGGCACCAGCAGACAGGAAATCAAAAGATGGATTGCATTGGGAAAGTCTCCTCCCAGGGACGCCTCCAGAGTACTGAAGAGCAATGATGTCAGTCTGGAGACGATGATGTGCCTGATCCAGGCCATGGTCTTCACAATTACTTGCTATGCATCTGAGAGCTGGACAATGACTAAGAATGATAGGAGAAGGATCGACGTTGTTGAGTTGTGGTGCTGAAGAAGAGTGTTGAACATACCGTGGACTGCTAAGAGAACAAGTAGGTCTGTCCTGAAGAGGATGAAACCAGGCTCCCTGGAGGCAAGGATTTTGAGGCTTTTTCTCACATACTTTGAGCGCATGGCCAGGAAGGACCAGTCCTTGGAAGGGTGGACGAGCAGATGGCACAGGAGAAGAAGACCCAGGATGACATAGATTGATGTAGTGACTGGAGAAATGGAATGAGGCCTATCAAAGACAATGAGATTGGCTCAGATAGGGCAGGTTTCAAACCTAGTGTACCTAGGGTAGCTATGAGTCTCAGGCAACTCGATGGCACGTAACATCAAAACCATCAGGGCTCTTTTATCAGACATTGGTCTGTTGTGATCCATCAGGATCCATTGGCTAATTTTTGGAAGTAGGTGGTCAGATCTTTTGCCCTCATGTGGAAGCTCTGCTGAAGCCTGTTCACCATGGATGACCCTGCTAATATGTGAAATATCAGTGCCATGCTTCCAGCATCACAGTAACACACGCTGTCAAAGCCTGACAAAACACAGCCAGGTTTAGGCGGTCAGTCCAATGCTGGCAGGCAGAGCCGGCCCAGCACTGTTGTTTCAGGGGAACTTAGATGTCATGGTCACTTTTAATTTTAAAAGGTAATTAAATAACACGGAGCTCTTGTGGCCTAGTGGCAAGAAACTGTAGTGTAATCCCGAAGCGCACAGTTCAAATCCACCAGCTGTTCCGCACGAGAAAGATGGACAGTCGTATCCCATGCGATTAACTGTCTTGGAAAACTTGCTGGAGGGTCAGTTCTCTGGGTCAGTTCCAATTTGATGGTACACAACAACAGTTACAAGAATAAAAATAACCACTCTGTGCACTAAATGTACATTGACTCAACTCATGGCCATCAAATGGGAACCAATTCATAGTCAGCCCTTCAGCGAATTTCCAAGGCTGTAAATAGCATGGGAAGAATTTGCCCTAACTCTGAAAAGAATGGGAATCCCAGAACACTTGATCATGCTAATGAGAAAGCTATACTTGGACCAAGAGGCAGTAGTCAGAATAGAGCCAGGGAACACTGCATAGTTCAAAATTGGGAAGGGCATATGCCAGGGATGTGTCCTGTCTCCATACCTTTTCAACCAGTATGATTATTATTATTGTCCTGGACGTGCTCACCAAGTTGTGCCAAGAAATCTGGAGAACAACCACTTGGCCAACTGACTGGAAGAGATC